TTTTCATTTTGGCCCAGGCTGGCATCCTCTCCTTTAACTCTTCTGCCACACCTGTGAGGGACGTGCCTAAAGAGACGCTAACACAARCAGTCTCTGGACAGCTATCTAGGCACGGGCCTGCAACCTCTGCCATAGGCTCATGTGGGTTGGGAGTGTCCTGTTCGTGCGCGCTCACTTCTCCACATGGCCTGGAAATAGGGGCAGTTGCGACCCCTACTGGCGGCTGCCTTTTGCCTGCTGGGCAGCCCATACTTGGGACAAAATTTGATTACGTGCCCCGGGTCACCACAAAATACGCACTGACCCTGGTCCACGCGTTGTTGCCATATACGCTGGTCCAAGCCCAAATCTTCCCAGGGCCTGCCCTGCGGCAAGCCTGGGTGCCATCCACCTTGAGGTGCCCTTCCACCTCCTTACTGTGGGGACCGGAATGAACCTTGGCGATTTGACGGGGGACCTTGACCCCTACCTCCCGCTTGGCGGTTTCCTTGGTCGCCAACCCCCTGCACGCCCGGTCCTCGGCCTCCCATGGCCTGGCCCCTTTGGCCCTGGCCTCCTCCTCTACCTTGCGGCCTCACTCCAACCGCGACAGCAGCGTAAGACCTCCCCTGCCCTACACTACTGTACTCCTCCCCTAGGCCCCACTCAATCTGATCATATGGGACCTCTTCTGCACCACCCTCCTCTAATGTCAGGATCAAGTGATCCTTGGCCTTGACTTGGCCCGAGATGGTACGATCTTTCCACTTTTTTCTCTTCTCCAGGTCCTTGTGCCAGAAAGTGGTAACTGGCATAGACTTCGACTCATACAGGACGACTTCTCTACTCAATGCATCGTAAGTCATGCCGACCTGCTGAGATTTGTCAAAGAAATGCCCATGTAGGGCCTCTGGAATGGCACGATAAAACAACTGGACCAACTGGGGCTCAGTGACCCCGTGATCCGGGACGGCTACCAAGTCGTCCATGGTACCCTTGAGTGCCTTGGCACTCCTCCACTGTCGGGAGTGGATCGTTTGAAGCTTATCAGAGGCTCTAATGCCTCGCGTTGGGTCAGCGAACCGCTCCTTGAGGCGCTTGAGGAATTGGGAAAGAGGAGCGACTTTGGAATATGCAACCAGGTTGTTTTCACAACCGGCTGTACGCGCGAGAGACCTGGCGAAGCTAACCGCTTCATCCTTCAGGGCCTGGAAGGCCACGAAGACTTGCTCCTCTATCAGAATATGCTGTAAATAAATGTAACTATTGACACTGGCCTCCCAGTTGTCAAAGTTCTCGTCCTTCCTAGCGAAGCTAGCCGCTTCGTCCTTCAGGGCCTGGAAGGCCACGAGGACTTGCTCCTCCATCAGGATATGCTGTAAATAAATGTAACTATTGACACTGGCCTCCCAGTTGTCAAAGTTCTCGTCCTTCTTTCCCCCGTACGCGTCTGGGAACTTAAGTTTCACTAGGTCCTTACGGGGTCTGCCCTCTCCTTCTACAGCGGCTGCAGCTTTGGCACCCTGAATGGCGCCCTCACAAAACTTCCCTACATTGTCCCTCAACTGTTTGACTTCGCCCCCAATGTGGGTGACGACTTCGCGCGCAAAATCCCTAAACCCGGACCGCATGGCACTCAACGCTACATCCTGGCTCTAGCTTGCCTAGCGCTCCTCCATCCAGGCCTTGCTCAACACCTCTAAATAGCCCAATACTTTGTCCCACTTGGCCTTATCATCTGGCTGGGCCAGCACCTCCGCTCTACACTCCTGC